ATCATTTAATTCAAGATCTGATCGAACTGCAAGTTGAATATGTCTTGGAGTAATTCTTGTTTTGTGGAAATCTTTTGCTTGTCCACCTGCAAGTTCTAAAACTTCTGCAACAAGATATTCAATAACAGCTGTTAAATAAACTGATGCCATTTTATTAATATGTTCTCCATATCTTCCTTTTTTAAGAGCAGCATGAATACGAGCAACTGGGAATTGTAAACCTGATTTCTTAGAAAGAGTATTTTTTCTTCCTTCATCATCATGTGATTTTACTTTCTTTTCAGTGACTTTCTTTGGTTTCTTTTCTACTGATTTTTTTTCAGTGGCTTTCTTTTCTACTACAGGAGTAACTTCTTTTTCTTTAGTAGCGTCCATTGTATTTAAAATACAGTTTTGATTACTTAAGATCTTATTGTCATCTTAAATATTCCCAAATTAGGTTTTCCTATTTTTCTCTTTTTACAGAAAATCATTAAAAATGAATCTTGATTCTTTTTCTTGTCTATATCATGTTTTGATTACATTCTGAATTTATATCATCTTCATAAAATTATTTACCATTACATTTTCAATATATGAATTTACTTGTTTATCATGTTTTTTTCATCATATATTATACATTTATTATTATTTTTACAAGAATAACGAAGACAACTTGAATTTTTGTTCACTTCTTTTTCTTTTTTTTTTTCTCTTTTCGGGAAACCCTTTTTTTTGCTAATATAATAAATATTATTATTATAAAACTATTTTACTATTTCTATAAATAGAGTTCTCTTTTTAATTAAAAATAAAAAAAATTTGTGATTTGAAAAATGAAATTTCCTTATTCTGAGTTTTCATAACCAATATCATAAATCACATTCACCAATAGTTTTTGTTTGTAAATTCCCATTTTGAAACCATCCATTATTAAGACGCACTCAACTGCTTTTGGTGGTCCATATAAAGAAACTAATTCGTTATGAATTTGAATATTTTTATTTTCATCTAATCCTAAGAAGACACTTACTTGGACAGCTTTTGGATTATTAATAATTATAGACATTCTGTTTGGTGAATTCATTGCTTATAATAGTTTTATAAAAAACAAACTGTGCCAAATCATTTGGTGTCAAAAGTAAAGACACAGACAATGAACAATCACTATCAAAAGATTGAAAAACTGCCATTAATTGATCGCCTTTATCACTACAACCAAACTTTGTTAATACAGATTTAATAACTTCAATTTTAGAGGCAGTATTTTTACCATAAATATCAAAAGTAAAACGAGTAAATTGAGGTCCAACTGAACTCATATCTTTTTCAACTGAAGTAATAATTTTAATATTACTACATTCTTTTTCAAATTGGTTTAATACAATTAATGCATTTCCAGAGTCAATCATATTAAATGCTTCAGAAGATAATAAATCACCACAAAAAATATAGCCCCCCTCAATTGCATTTTCAGCAGAGCAAAGTTGAATATAAGATCCAATACGTTCTGGACATATTTTATTTCCATACAAATTCATTTTGTCAATTCCATCAGAAGCAGATTCTACCAAACTAAAGAAATCAGCAATTCCTAGTCCCATATTTTCTTGTGGACCATTAACTTTATAAGTTACATTATCACAATCACTTGCAACAGACATTACATAATTTATTGTTTTATTCTTTTCAAGTTTAATTTGTGAAGGGATAGACGATATCCAATAATCCAATACCTTTGATTTATCACCAGTTAAAAATGTGAAATATTCTCGTGTCGGATTTATATTATTTCTTCCAAGATAACTTGGTAATTGTCTATTTACATAAACAACGTCAGAGTCACCTTCTCCTAATAACGTTTGTTGTCTATCTTTTTTCTCTTCTACTAATGGATTTATTTTTTGTGAAAGAGCTCTTCTTCCTGAATTTATTGGTGGTACTGCAGGTAGTTGATTACTTGATGAGTTAGTGTTATAAGATAAAGAACCAATAGGAACTGAAGCATCTGGTGCTCCAATAGTTTTTTTCATTTCTCCAGCCATTGCCATTTGTAAAGGATTCATTCCTAAAGGTACTTTCTTTGGTTTAATAAGAAGGTCATTATTATTTGATGTTGGAGAAGATGCCATTATTGGTGATTGAATTTTAGGAGACATAATACTTTCAGGTATACCCCTTGTTTTTAATGAATCAATATAAGACTTTTTAGCACTTTCAGGATGAATTGAGTTTTCTATGTGTTTAATAAAATCGATAAGTGTTGATGGGTTATCAACTTCAATGAGATATCTTCTATCTCCTTTTTTATCTTTTGAATTAATTGCTAATACACACTTTCCTTTAAACTCATCAGACGCATCTTCTACATGAGCGTCATTACTTAGTTCAATGTATCCTTTTGCACTTACCGAATCTTTACTATCAAAATACCATAACTTTTTATCTTTTAAAACAAAATATCTTTTTTTCCAATTTTTATACCCTCCACCTTCCTTTGTTCCCCATGACTCGTACTCACACGGCATAAGTTGAGCAACACTAACATTCTGCATATTTAATCTTCCATTTTTCAAGTTTCTTTTTTTTTGTTTTCTAAGTCAATTAATTATTGATATTTTATTTATTACTGTTATATATAACAGATATACAAAAAAGAAATAAAAAAAAAAAAAAATAAATTAAAAAAAGTAGATTTTTAAAAAGAAAATATAAAAAAACTAAAATTTTTAGGAAAATTAAGAACTAGGGTTGAAAGAAGTCAATCTGTGTTGCAGATGGTTGGACCAGTCACAAAACCAAAGATTGTCAAGAAATATACAGGACACTTTAAGAGATTTGATTCTAACAGATTCCTCCGTGTTAAAGCATCCTGGAGAGTTCCAAGAGGTATTGATAATAGATTAAGAAGAAAATTCAAGGGAACTAACCTTCTTCCAAAGATTGGATATGGAAGTGCTAAGGCAACTAGAAATATGCTTCCATGTGGACTTTATAAATTCCCAGTTCGTAATACAACTGATCTTGAAATGATTATGATGCAAAACAGAAAGTATGCTGCTGAAATTTCACATGCTGTTTCTGCTAAAAAGAGGCAAGAAATTATCCAAAGAGCTAAGATTCTTAACATTAGAGTTCTTAATGCTGATGCTAGAATTAAGAAACAAGAAGTTTCCCAATAAATTGATCGTGAATTTTTTTCTTATTTAATTCTTTTTTATATTATTTTAAAATAAAATTGTATTAATAATTTCTTTTTATTAAATTTAATTGTTACTATTTTTTTATATTTGAAGTTGTTTTATTCTTTAAAACTTTACTCTCTTTTTAGTTTATTAAGAAATTTTGTTTTTCTTTTTTTTTTCTCATTTTTTATACTTCTGTTTATCTTTTTAAAATTGTTTTTATATACTAAAAAAAGACTGTTAATTAATGATTATAATAAGTAAAACAGTTTTGAAAGGGATTCATTACAAATAAGGTCATGTTTGATGTTAAACTTTATAAAAACTATTATATACAAAATAATAATTGTTATAAAAAATATAGAATTATTTCCAAAAATTTTATCAATTTAAAAGAAAAAAAAAGAATAATAATTTAAGAATGATAAAAATGAAGAAAAAGAACTCAAATTAAACAACTTTTAAGAAGAAAAAAAGAATTTTATAATTTAAAATTATTTTAATAAAATAATAAAAAATAAAAGTAGTTAAAATTATGATTGAAAAGAAGTAAAGTTAGTATATACTTATTTGCAATAAGTAAAATCATTGAAATAATCTTTAGAATCAACAACTTCTCCTTCATCAATTTTAGCTGTTTCATTAATAATATCTTCATTAAAATTAGATGTATCAGTTTTATCTTTTAAAACAGGAACAAAAGGAGGAGATAATTTCTTTTGGAATAATCCTTCCCAATCAAATCCTTTAAACCAAGAATGAGATTTAATACGATTTGGATCTGTTAAACGTTTTTCTGGATCTTTTTCTAATAACATAACAATACACTCCTTACAATCTGCTGATGGATAAGAAGCACTTGGGAAAGAGACAGGGTCATGAATAATCTTTTGGAATAATTGTTGAATATCTTCTGAAGTAAATGGAGCATGTCCATGAATCATTTCATAAATTAAAATACCAAATCCCCACCAATCTACAGGCTCTGAATAGTCTTTACCAACAACAACTTCTGGAGCAAGATATTCTGGTGTACCACAAAATGTACTTGTGGTATTTTCTTTTGTAACATTTTCTTTAGAAAGTCCAAAATCAGTTAAACGAAGATAACCATCAGCACCAATTAAAATATTTTCTGGTTTAATATCACGATAAACAATATTTGAAGAATGAAGATGTTCTATTGCAAGTAAAATTTGGGCTGCATAAAATTTAGCATCTTCTTCACTAACTTTTCCATTCTTTTGTAAATAATAATAAAATTCACCTCCAGGACAATAATCAATAATATAAAATAAATGAGTTGGAGTTTGGAATGAGTAATATAAATTTACTAAGAAAGGATGATGTAATTTAGAGAGAATACGTCTTTCAGACATAGTGTGTTCAATTTCTTCATATTCAATAATTTGTTTCTTTTCAATAGTTTTCATTGCAAATATTTCATGAGTAGAAATCATTTCAACTAAAAACACTTTTCCATAAGCACCTTTACCTAATAAACATTTAACATCAAAATCTTTTTGTGTTACTGGTACACTACTAATTCTTGGTTTACAAATATTGGATTTCTCTGAATGACAAATAATAGATGTTAACCATGATAATCGTTCTTCTTCATTTGCTGCACTTAAATGGAATGTTCTTGATGGTGTACAAATACGAATTATATTTTCATATTTCTTATGATAATTATCAACTGCTATAATGTGTGTGGCAAGAGATAAATTTATTACACCCATTAATGTTTTTTTATCTTGTTCTTTGTAATATGATAGTGTATCATTTTCTAATTCAAAATATCTTTTTTTCCAAGACTTCCAACTTCCACCTTCTTTCATAAGCCATCCTTGTGTTTTCTCTTCCATTTATGTTTTAAAGAACTGAAAAAAAAAGTTCAAAGATGATTAAAAATAAATCCATGAAAATTAAAAATAAATATTGAAATTATTTTATTATGAATTTTAAGAAATAAAATATTCAAATTAAATAACAATTTTGTAAATTAGACAAAAGTTGGAGAACAATCTTTTTGAGATGATGAAAGATATAAATCTAATCCTGATGTTAATAATTGACTTATATCTCCTGCAAATATTCCAAGATATAAAAAAAGTAAAACCACAGCTACAGCTAAACGTGGTTCGACATGAGAAATTGAATATTCTATAGCACATGCAACAATAAACCCATTAACTAGTCCTAATAAAGGTGCATACCCTAACATAACTTTTTCAGCTATAATTGCGTGTGAAATATTCCCTGCTGTACCAAAGTAAATCGGTAAGATAGTTATTGTTGCTATCAAAACATTAATAATACTTGCTATTAACACTATTTTAATAGGTGGTTTTGTAAATATTTCAACAAATCTTCCAATAACATCCCCAGCATAATACAATAAACCGACTAACTGAATGAATTGGTAATAATAATTATTTTCATCATAATTCATATCATCCTTATAACAATTAAAGTAACGTTGAACTGGATTTATAAAACGAGGAACAAGATAGATAGCAATATAATAACAGCAAAATATTGTTATTAATGAATTTTTCATCTCTTTTATTATAGTTTTAAATATTCTTAAAACATTGTATTTTGGTAGTGGATCATCAAGACTAATATACTCTTCTTGATATGTTATTCTTTCTTGACATTTAAGAAAATCATATATTTGAGGTGTAAATATGAATAGTATAATAACAAGGATCAGTCCAACTAATGAAAATAAAGCTACAATAGAAAAAGCAACAAATTCGGGTATTTCGGCATATCCTAATATACAAGCTAAAAGTGTTCCAAATGAGCATCCAGTGATATAAAAAGTTGTGTGTTGTGATGATAATGAATAACTCAAATTAAAAAAGACAAAAAAATTTGATGGTGGAAGACTTGAATTGAATATTTCTACAATAAGATAAAGAAACGTTTTATTAATAATTGGACTAAATACATTAATGGAAGATGAGATAGTACATATACTAGTTAAAATAAAATTTGTAGCTAATGTAAAAATACCAAAAATTTTATAATTAATTTTTGCATAAGATAAGTAAGAAAGAACTAAAAGTATTACTAATGTAATTATACCTCCTATTCCATCAATAAATGAAATAACTGATATTGACTTACCAATATCACTATGTGTAAAAGCAGCATATAGTAATAAATAATTAATACCAAACACAAAACAACAACACATAGTAAATATATTCATTTTAATAGATAGTCCAATAGCACCAAACTGCATTAAAAGAAATAACGAATTTAAAGATTAAAATCTTGAATAAAAAGAGAAGAATATAAAAAGTGAGTAGTGGTTAATTCAAACATTTTTTACTTGTTTCTCAATTATTCTGGAACTAAAAAATTTTAATGTCAATAGAAATATCTAAAATACCTACTGGAAGTCAGAGTGTTAAATTCTTCTCTCAAATGACTGAGAAAAGAATGCTTGTAAAACGAGTTGGTTGGATTTCAAATGAAGATCTTCAAATATGTATTTCAAAAAATTTTATTGCACTAATTTCTAATACAAATTATGAAACAGTAGATGTTTGGGATTGGCAAAGTATAGTTGGAATTCAACCATCAACTCAAAACAATGAAGAGTTTATTCTTGTAGTAGGATCTACAAAACACAAGATGATTTCAAATAATAGAAGTTATTTATTGTGTTTGTTATTACAGTATAAGTACAAAACAAAACATCAAGAATTTACAACATTTAATGCCAAAAAAATCAAAGCCAATAATCAATCAATTGATATAAGTGTTCAAATTCAACCTTATGGAATCATTGAAATGCCAAACAAACCTGGCAAGAAAGAAAAAATTATTTTATTAACAGACATTATTAGAATTATACCATTAGATGATAGTCGATCTATTGCATTGGTTTTTGATGGTAATCAATTCATAGTTTATTCTTTTTCTGATAGAAGAAAATTTGCTGCAGAAATTCTAACGAGATGCAAACAAATTGGAATTAAAATGTCTGTTGGAAATGAGTTATCAATTGAAAATTTATTTAAATCATCAAATATAAGAAAAGTAGAACAAGAAGACGGTGGTTCTTTAGTAGAACTAAAAGCTTCACATGGACCTGGAAAGACAGAGCGAATAATTTGTTTTACTGAAAAATGGTTTGTTGAAAGAGATGCCTCTTCTTATACAGTTAAGTACGCAAGAACATTAAATGATATTATTCATATATTAAGAGGTCGTGATGCTATGGAGGTAGTTGTTACTTTTGCAGATGGAAATCAAAGAGTATATTATACAAGCCAAAGAGAAGCATTTATTGCTACATTATTTGATTGCTCATTGGCAGCTAAAGCTGATCCTATTATTTCTGATATCCCACGATTTGGTTCATTAATTATTGAAAAAATGACACCAAACGAATGTGGGCAAAATGAGCTTATTTTATTAAAGAATATTGCTAACTTTGATCCAACAAAAATTACTGGAATTGAACCTGTGGAATTGTTTATGATTCACGTTTTCTTATTAAATAATAATATGCCACCTTCTGGACCACAATTTGCTGAGGCAAGTCGTTCAAAATTAATTATACAAGCCTTAGAAAAATTATTGACAATAGGAAAACCTGGAGAAGGATTTTTACAATGTTTACATAGATTATTATCAACAAGAATTGGATATGAGTCATTTGTAGAGAATAAACATATAACAGAAAAAGTAACAGAAGTAATTGGAATGGCACTTCAAAGTGTTAAACCAATTGTATTATTTTGGGCATTAAGAATCACATCAATCTTACTATGTTCTAGTGCTGATGAAAGTACTGAAAAAAAAGGTAAATTAGAAGTTATGACACATGGAATTCCTGAGAGAATCTTTGCTACATTAGTTGGTAATATTAAAAAAGGGTCTCCCCTTGTCATCCATGGCTGTGTTACTGCTTTTAAATATATTGTTTGTGAACCATATTCTTATACTACAGAATTTAATATGTTCAATAGAATGATGAATATTATTAGTGGATTAGGAAGAGACGTATTTATGTTATTCCAATCACCATGTATTTCTATTCCACATATTGCTGGACAAATACTGAGAGCATTAGTTGAAGAAACAGATATGGATGAACGAATTAAAGAATTACAGGACTATGCATTATTAGAAGGGATAACCTTGAAATACCTTCAAATAGCTTGTTTCTCAACACCTAAAACTACAACACAATTACTTCAAAAACATTTAGCATTACACCTACTTGATGTTTTCACTGCTGATCATAAAGAAAGTGATAGTGTATTAAAAAGAACAATTCCTAATGCACTATTATCTTATCTTGATTCACCCGACCAACCACCAGAAAAATTAGATATTACTGATGATGAAAGACAACATCCAAGGCCTCAAATGAGTACTGTAGCAACGTTTTGGAAAAAATGGAACGTTAGAAGAAACACAAGTGAAAACGAAATTAGAACAAGACAAAGGAGAGTTATTAAACAAAAAAGAAATTGGGGAATGTTAGTTTTCCAACTCCACCAACAACATCGTCGTGCTGATTTAATTTGGAATCATCAAACAAGAGAAGAACTAAAAGAAGCATTAGATAATGAAATTAGACAATTAAAGAAAGACCAAGAAGAAGGAGAAGTCGCATGGAATTATAGAGAATTTATTGTAGAATATCATTCATTAGATAATGAAGTATGTGTTGATGGATGTTTTATTAAATGTTTATTAGAAAAAGGAGAAATTACATTAAGTGAACCAAGAGAATTTTTTGATACATTATATCATAGATGTTTATTTGAAACGAATAGAGAATTACAAGCATTAGCAATTCAAGCTATGAGTATTGTTTATAATAAGTTCAATAAAGAAATTGGAGCATTTAAAGATATTTCACATATTGTTTCAATGTTAAAAATGACAAGATCATTATTACTAAGAGATAGATTAATTGAATTAATTGATTCATTATTAAAAGTAGAAATTAATGCAAGAAAATTTATTGATGTTGGAGGAATTGATTTATATGTTGAATTATTAATTCTTGTTCATCTTCATTCAGATCATGCTATTATTCCATTACAAACAAATTTATTAACAGCAGGAACAATAATAGGAGAATGGTATTATGTAGAAATTAATAATAATAAAAAAGAAAAAAAAGGACCTGTATCTATTGATAAATTAAAAGAATTACTTAAAGAAAATATTATTCAAGAAACAACAATGGTTTGGGCACAAGGAATGGAAGATTGGAAAATATTAAAAGATATTACAGTATTAAAATGGACATTATTAAAAAAAGATACAGGAATATTAACTCCAATTGAATTATGTCAATCTATTTGTAAAACATTAGAAAATTTAGTTACTATGTATCCATCACGTGATATGCATGGTATTTTATTAAGACCAATTCCAAGAGCTAAAAGAATATTATCATCACCAAGAAATCTTCCACATATAGTTCAATTATTATTAACAGCATCACCAACAATAATTGATATAACAGCAAGATTATTAAAAAATTTATTAGAAGATAATCCAACAGCACAACCTAAATTTTATTTAACAGGAGTATTTTATTTTACATTAATGTATTCAGGAAGTAATTTAAAAGAAATTTCAAGATTATTATATGCTACTCATAGACAACAAAAAATAGGAGAATCAGTTGAATTATCAATATTAAAACCACTTATTCCACCATCATTAATAACAGTACTTGATAGATCTTCTGAAGAATTTGCAGCAAGATTTGTTGGAGAAGTTGCTACTCCAGAAATTAGATGGAATAGTTCAATGAGAAATTATTTAATAGATAATATTTCACAACATATTGGAGATTTTGCATTTAGATTAACATGTAATCCATTAGCAGTATATTCACATGTACCAATTCCACCTATTGTATATGAAGAATTAAAAGATGAATTATATTGTGGAAAAGTTTATCTTAAACAATTATGTGATGAAGAAAAATATCCAGATTATATTATTAATGATCCAGTAGGATTATTACAAGCAATATTACATACATGGGTTGATATAGCAGAAACACCAAAGAAAATGTCAACAAATGAAGCATGTCAAATTCTTGGAGTAGAAACACCTGATGATAAACAAAAATTAAGAAAAGCATATTATAAATTAGCACAAAAATATCATCCAGATAGAAATCCAGAAGGAAGAGAAATGTTTGAAAAAGTAAATGATGCATATAATCAACTTATTGAAATAGGACCAGATAATTCAAATGAAAAATCAGAAATTATTATTCATTCACAATGTATTCTTTATGAAAGATGTGGAGAAATATTATCACCATATAAATATGCAGGATATTCTTTACTTATCCCAGCTCTTCAAGACACTCAATTAAGAGGCAGAGCATTACAATTAGTTTATTTAACTATTAGATCGTCTACATTAAATGTTCAAGAACTAGCAAGATTAAATGGGTTACAGACATTATTAGATATGTTAGATGGATTATGTGGACAAATCACAGAAGGAAAAGTAATCGCTATTAGATATATTCTTAGAGCTATGGCAGTTGCATCTAAATTTAAAGAATCATTAATAGAAATTAAAAAAAATAATACAATATTATCTAATATTAAAATGTGTCTTGGAAGTGAATTACTTGGAGTTGTAGAAGCATCATTAGAATGTATAACATGTTTTTCAATAGATGAAGAAATAAGAATTGATATGTATAATAGAAATTATCTTGGATATTTAATTCATAGAATTTTATCATATGATCCAACACTTGAAGAAGCAGAACAAGAAAGTATTCATCAAATGAAAAATGCTATTGCTGGAATGTCATTATTAGCAATGAAAGAATTAGTTAAAATTCAAGAAAATACTAATGAAACAAAAGCAGTATTTTCATTATTTACACCACAACTTGGATTAAGAATTAGATATGGTAATGTTAGTGAAATATTAAATTTAATTACATCTACAACACAAACACCATATTTATTATGGACAAATAAAACAAGAAAAGAGTTAATTGATTATATTGATGCACATTTAAATGGAACAATAGAATGGACACCAAAAGAATATGAATTATTTAGATTCTCATCATTACAAAATGAATTAGTTCTTGGAGGTGTTTATGTTAGACTATTTAATGAACAAATAAGAACGTGTGAACCATTACCAGATCCATTGCTTTTCTTAAGGGCGTGCATGTTAAGGATTGATCTTAATGGTAAATGGCTTCAGGAAAAAGTTATAGCTGTTGCAAACGTATTAGAACAATACCAAATTGCCACTGAATTCTGTGAGGATCCTGAATTACTTGACTCATTATTTAATTTATTAAAAGAAGAACCAGATGACCTTATTGTTCAGTCATCAACATTGAGATGTGTCAAAAGATTATTAAGTACAACAGCCTGTGTTGAGGTTGTTGCTAAATCTAAAGTATTATCTAAATTCCTTATGTTGTTATATCCTTCTCAATATCTTGAAGATATTGTGCCATTAGCACAGTCATTATTCTCAGTAACAACAGGATTACAACAAGGAATAATTAGAGGAGGATTACTTTATCTTTTAAATCATTTTGTTAATGATAATGAACTTGAAAGAAGAATTCTTGTATCTCAATTAATTGGTAAAATGTCTACTACACCAGGTATTGGACCTAAAGTGACCCTTTCACTTGCCAAATTCTTCCCAAGTGCAATTATTAATACAATGAAAATGGATGCAAGAGGAGCTGTTATTTTATTAGACTCAACTACAGAAACACCTGAATTAATTTGGAATTCAGAAATGAAAAATGGTGTTGGAGTTTTCATTGGTACAATGGCTGAATCATTCCATGCAAAACAACTATCTAATCCAATGGTTAAATGGCAAGTTCCAGATACTTTTACATTTAAATATAAAGAACTTGAAAATGAATTATGTATTGGAGGTGTATTTATTAGAATCTTCAACCAAAATCCAATATGTCCACTTAATAATCCAAATGCATTTAGTGATGGACTATTTAATAAATACCAAGAAGCTGTTAGACAAAGAGATGTTACTATGATGGATACCCTTGCTAAAACAATTGCACTATTTTATACTAATCAACCTCAGTGTTTAGATTATATTGCTGCGTCAGGTCATTTATCTAAAATTATTGAATTACTACAAACACTACCAGATGAGACACTATTTATAGTTCTACAAGTCATTGTTACAAATTCATTATGTAAAGAACGACTAATAGATAACAATGCAGTTCCATTGATTGCCCTTTGTTTAACTAAAATACCTGAACACGCACAAATTGTAGCTAATGTTTTTAGGTCAATGACGTCTGGAGTTGGGTGTAAAGGAGTGTTATGTTATGTCCCAAGACTTTGCAACGAAGATGTTCAAAACGCTATCTTTACAGTTTTGAAAGGTTCATTAGATGACACTCTTGGATCATCTGCACCAGAAGTCAAAGCGTTAATAGTTGATGCTTTACAGAGTGCTTTACAAGACTCTTCTCATGCAGCAGATCTGGATGTTGTACTAAATCAACACCCAGAATGGCAACAATATTCCACTCAAAAACATGGGCTTTTCCTTTCTGGAGCCTCACCTATTTCTGGGTACATTGCTGGACCGACCGCGTCAAGTGGTGCTGTAGGGTTATTAACTGTTGCAGAAGATGCATCAATCCATCGACCAGACGCACCACCAGAAATTAAATAAAATAAATTACTTCTTTTCCATTATTATAAATTAAATGATTATTAAAAAAAAAAAAAAGAACTTTATCTAAAACAATTTAATGAATTTTATCCAAAACCTCTTTGAAGATATAATTAATCAAAGAGTTAGTTCATCCTCTAGATTAACAGTTCATGCATCATTTGTTGCTGCACTATTTTTTGAAATATATTTCTTCTTTACAATACCATCTGCATCAATTCATTTTGTTGTGTTAATGTTTCTGACATGTGGGGCATATGGTGCTATATGTTGGTTTGTTTAAAGAAGTTATTTTGTTATTCTGGACAGGTCTTATTATTTATAGGGTATTTTATCAACTTGACACGAACCCAGAACTTTGTGAAGCACTAAAAAAAGCAAAAGAAGAACAACAACAAAAAGAAGAAGATTCATTAAATAAAAATAATGAATTAAACGATAAAACTAAAGAAAAAAGTGATTAAATTTAGTTAAATTATTTGGATTGAATAATCTGAAGTACTTTTTCTCTTGTCCAATTTTCAAATTGAAGTGTTTTATGATGAGAGGTTTGTCCTTTAATAAGACTTACATTAGATTTTTTTATTCCAAATGTAGAAGCCATAAAAGCAATAACCTCAGTATTAGCTTTTCCATCAATTGGGGGTGCATCAATAGCTACCTTTAATATACCATCTTCAACTCCTTGGAGCTCACTAGTTTTAGCATTGGGTTTGATCTCAATCTCGATGATGACATTTGATTTATATTGTCTAACAAAAGAAAAACCGTCATCAGGAATAGGTTCTTTTGATAGAGGTGATTGTTTAAGTTTTTTACCTTTAGGAGACATACAATAGGAGAAATTATTAAGTTTTTAATATAAAAAGTTCAAATAAAGGAGAGGAATAAAAGAATATTATATTATTCAATTTTTGCAAAAATGTCATGTTGTTTTAATAAAGAATAACTTTTTTTATCAGCTATAAATGTTGCTGCTGGAGATCCACCAAAGATAATATGATTCCCAATTTTTAATTTCATTGGATTATTATCTGTATTAATACTTACTATCATTCCTTGTTGAAACTTATCATTCTTTTGTTCAGCAAGAATAATTCCATTGACAGTTTGAGTGGTATAATGTTGGACTAAGACCATATCTCCAGTTGGTTTAATTTTTGACATTAGGCCTGTTAAATGTGTTGAGATTGGTTGTGGAGATAACTAAAAAAATTAGCTAACAAAATTTTGGAACAATGAGTAACATTTAAAAGGAAGTACAAACTAATGACATCTACTGATTAATACTTTTTAATTCTTAGTTGAAAATCTGAAAAACAATGAAAGATGCAAATAATGGACTTTTTCAATAATAGGAAAATTTTCTGATATATATCCCATTTTAAGAAAAAGAGTCATTAAAAAATGTTTTTAATTAACAAAACAAGAGTTTTTCTATTTTTTAAAGTTGAGTGGTTTATAAGTCAAATTTAGGTTAAGGTCAAGTAGTTTGTAAGTAAAGTGAAAGAAAAAAATGAGATGGATTAAAAGATATATAAGACGAAAAATATTATACTTAATAATAAAAGATTAGTTTAGTAATAGTTTCGAGTGGACTTTAAAACTCAGAATTTTGGGAGAATATATCTAAACAAAGGACCGAAGATCCTGAATAAAAATGAAAAAAGATTATGATTTTGTATGAACTGGTTAATCTGGAAATTAGTCTATCGTTCATTATGCCGTACACCAAAGAAAAGGTTCCAATACAAAATCCTCAAGAAAATGCGATCGTTATTTCCTTTTCGATTCATTATATTACGCAGTACGGTCAAGAACTTTATGTAAATTTGGATGATTACACTTGTAAGTTTGTATTTTTTTTATTTAAACCATTTTATTTTAGAATATTTCTAATGTATAGAAAATTGACATGGACCAGTGGTCATATTTGGAAGGGAACAATTACTCTCGTAAGGCCTCGAACATTAAAGTGGTCATATTCTTTACTTTGTGGTGAAATAGTATTGAGAAGGGAGGAGTTAAAATATCCAAGGGTATATTCTTTGGATGATATTCACAAGTACTATCATATTTATGACAGATGGGATAACCCTCAATCAAGCGTTTCTCCATTGGTTTGTTGTATTTAAAAATTTTATTAAAAAGTATTAACATTTTAGACTTTTGGGTCATTACCTGTAAATGATGAAAAAACTTTCAGCTCAAATAATGATGGAGGGTATTTTTCTCCACGGTCTTCTCGTTATATCACCTCAATTTATGTTACACAAAAAAAAGTGAAAGATACTAACTCTGATGATGAAAACTAACCTTTAAGTAACATATTTAACAACAGTGTATCCATCTTAATTTATTTGTTTCCATAGTTTGTTTTGAATAGAATATATTTATTTTTCATTTTAGTTTTGTTAAAAGTAAATGTTAAAATTAAAAAATAACAAAATTATTAACATATTTAATCTTTGCATTGAAGTATACAAAGTCTTTCACATTGTATCTTAGTACAATTAAATTGGAATTGTAATGGAGTAACTGTTGAATTTCCTTGAATGTATGAAGACTTCATCAACGGATTAAATTGAATAAGTCCTTTGTCATTCATCCAAAAAGCACAATAACAATTCAAAACTACATGAGAGTCATTACAGTATAATGAGAATGAAGATTTAGACTCAGTATTCCTTTGAAATATAGAAGTACTTGAATTTTTATTAACAGTGAAAACCCACATATTATTAGAAGCAACAATATTTGTTTTATTGAGTTGGAGTGTTGGAATTATATCTTCTTGATAAAAACCAATAACTCCCGATTTAGTTTCAAACACAAAGAGTATTTTTGTCTTATATTCAATAGCACTTCTAATACTTCTGGAATCTAAGTCTTGTAATAAACTATCATATATAACTTCAAAGCTAGTTGTTTGAGCTGTTTTTTTCAAACAGTTTATAACAAGTTGGGTGTTAAAATCTTCAAAAGGACTTTGGTTTTGAGACTTTTCGATACCTTGATTGTTAGGTTCCAATGGAGCAGAAGTTGGTCTTTTGTTTTCTTGAAAGGTTTGGCTAAGACGGCGCATGTATTTAAATTCTTTCCATTCTGAGAGGTGTTTTAGTTTCTTTTCTTTTGAGAGAATAGAGGTTTGTTTGTCAGCATTTATTGGTTCCACAGTTAATTTATTTGGAGTTAGTCTTTCAAAAGAAACACACATTGGTTCATTTCCTTTTAAACAGTCTGAGGGTTTATTCAAAGACCCTTTTGTTGGAGAGTTTGTTTTCAATGATTGATGATTTCCCATTTGATAATAGATAGTTTGGAGGTCTTTTTAAATAATAACTATTTATTTTGGTAATCAGAGCCTATAAATGTGGTTTATTTGATTCCTTCCATTCTTAAAATAATTTGAAGTGTACTACCAGCGACTTTCATTCATAATAAACTAACCTATTTTTGCCCAATAACTTTGTAGATAAGTTGTTCATTTTCTGTTGGTAGGAAATAAAATGTTTTAAAAATAGTAGATTCGGATAATAACTTCTTAAGCACATAAAAATAAAAATAAATCTTTAAAAATATGAAAACAGGAAACAAATCTATTTAAAAAATATAATAAAATTAAATATGACATGTATATTCAATTTATTTATAGCTGTATCTATAATTTTATTTCTTTTCTATTTCCTAATAAGATCTATTTAATTTTTCCCTTCATAGTTATACTCCTTGATCAATTATTTTTTGTAATATCAATTATGATAACTTTGAACCATTTTTATTTTTATCTGAATTAATGTTTTCATTCTTTGTTTTTTTTTTGTATTTTTGCAATTTTTCATTGGCAAATAAACAAGTACCCTTAATACCATTATGGTTATTTTCTACACCACTTTGTTCTTTGTGTTATGTTTGCTATTCTTTATGAGTTCATTATTTTCAAGACAATAAATTTTATTATTGAATTACACTCTATTCTTTATTCTGTTTTCATTTCTTATTATTGTTTATTTTTCTTGTTTCTTTAAACTCATTCTTCTTATTCTATATTTTTATATTTTTTGTTGTTGTACTTTTATTTTCATACTCAATATTGTTGTGTATTTATTATCAGTGTCTTTTCTGATTTTCTATTTGTTTCAGTGATAAAAGCAATCAACTTAAATAATCCTACAATAAATATTTTATGGATATTAAGAAATGACTTTTTAGGTTCTTCATTTTATTTTATTTATATAAGAGACTTCTTTTGAGGTATTTGTATAAAATCTCATTTTTAATGTAACAACACTATTTTCTAATAAACAATAACATTTCATACAGTTGTTCAATGGTTATATGATTTCAATTAATTCTACTTTCAATAATAGTAATATTCATAAATTTATTTTACCTATTTTATTGATATTATTGCAATTAATTTTTCTAGTATTGGTTCTTTATTTTATATTAACTCTATATTTCAATCATATTTATTTTGTACATTTTGTCTATTTATGAATTTTAATATTAACAAACTTATTACTCATCCTCTCATTAATACATATTATTCTTTATGAAAAAGATAATTAGTATTCAGAAATAAATCAATATCAATTATCTGATGCTATAAATTGAATGAGTATCAAATCAATACAGATATCATTTAACTACTGAATATATTTTGAGGAAATATAGAATTATGTTTTAATAATTAGCTCTTTTCTTGTTCATTATAATAGAAAGTAAATAAATGCAGTTGTAAAACGAGAGTATTTACAATAATTTAACTTATTGATAATAAAATGTTATGAAAATTCTTCTCATAGCCACTTGTTCTGTGTTTTGAGTACATAGAAAAAATTCATTCATTCCTCTCTTCAATTATTCAATTACAAGGAAGTAATTTCCATTAAATAAAGAATTTTTAATTGTTATAAAAAACAAAAAATAGAAAATAGAAAATAAAAAAGAATAAAAAAACTAAAAAAGAACTAAGAGAACTTAAAAAGTTGTAGTGTTATGAAAGCATTTATTGTTAGTATTTTATTAATTTCATTAGTTTCAGCAGCTGTAGTGATAAATGAAGAAGCTATTAAGAAAGACCCAATATATAAACAATACAGTGAAGCGATGAATCAAATTGATAAAGCTGTTGGTGAAAAGGCACAAAAAGAAATCTCAAAAAAAATGAGTTTAAAAGCAAAATTTAACAAACAAGTAAAGTTACAACTTGCTAGAAAAGCCAAGAAAATGGCAAAGAAAATTGAATATGTATCAAAAGTAAAGAAAATGAATAAAGTTATTCGTAAATCTATGAAAGAAATTAAGGCTAATACTGATATTAAGAAAGTTCTTCAAAGAGTTAAGAGTCAATTAAAATTAATTGCTGGAAAAGATACTAAAGCAATAAAGAAAATGAATAAATTAATTAAAAAATTTGATAAAGGAAGTCAAAGAAAAGTTGCTCATATTGTTAAGAAATTACAAAAGAAAGTTCAATTAAAGAAAATTAAAAAAGCTGGACTTAAAATTGGACCTACAGAAAAGAAATTAGCTCAAAAAGCTATTAAATATGTTCAAAAAGCTAATGAAAGAATGGGAAAAAGTGAAAAATATATTGAACTTTCATGTAAAAGTTCTCCAAAATATTGTTCTTTCTTCAAGAAGTCATTTGTTATTGCTAATCCAATTATTGTTTAATTGATTTAGCATAAATTGTTTTATAGTATATTTTTATTATTATTTTTAATATTTTATAATAGTTTAATTTATTTATATTTCTATTTATATTTGTCATTAATGACATTTTTTAAATTAAAAAGAAAAAAATTGAATAATTAAGAAACAAAAAAGATAGAAAATAGATTTAAAATGAGATAAATAGAAAGAGAACTAATTAAATCATATCATGGTTGAAATTATTCTATCATATACTGGACAAAGAAAAGGAGATAATTTCTTTAGTTACTGGGTACTTACTAAAGATAATATTTATTTCTATCGTAACCAATCTGTTGTAAATAAAGAAAAACCATTATCAACTATTAATATTAAGTCAATAACCAGTAATAATATTAAACAAGAAACTTCAAATAAATTTCTTCTCCAAATTAATGAATCAACAAGAACAACAGGATTATATGGTGATTATAATATTCTTTCATATTGGCTTCAAGCAATTAATTTTGTTATTCAAGATTTAGTTCAAAATAGACAAGAACTTGAATTTTTATTATCATCTCAAATAGAAGCTCCATTACAATCTAAAACATCACCAGTACAAACAAAAAAGGAAATACCTTCTTTAATGAAATCTACTAGTATTTCAAGAAAACCACCTCCCTCTAGTATTTCAGAACAACAACAACAAAAAGAAATTATTCAACATTCAAATCATATTAGTAATAATGGAAATAAACAATTAATATTAGATAAATGTCCAACAGAAAATTTAAATCAAAAAGTAATGAGACAAACAGTTTGTCTAGAATTTATGGAAAATACATTAGGAAAAAAAATTAAAATATCAGAACTCAAAGAAGGAAATTTATTTGTAGAATTATTTGAAAAGTTATCACAAACCAAATTACAAATAAAACCAAATGCAATTGAAATTGTTGATAAGATACATAATATTGGAACAGTTATTGCTAATACAGTTAAATTATGTAAAGTAAGTATTCTTATTGATCCAGTGGATATTGTTAGAGGAAATGAAACAGAAATTGTTAAATTTATTATGATACTTTTTGAATCTTTTATATTAAATAAAGTAAAAGTACAAAAAAGTGAAGGAATGGAAGGATTAATGATGTGGGTTAATGCATTATTAGATGGAAGTGGAATTGAAGTAGAAGATTTTAATTCAACATTCCAAGATGGAAGAGCATTTGCTTATATTATTAGTAAAAGAAGACCTGATTTACTTGATCCAAAATATCTTTCAAATGTTTGTTTTAATTATTTTTATTTTAAATTAAATTTAAAATAAAAAGAAATTTATTTTAAATAGAGTTCATCAATTAATTATTCTTTTGTTACAAAAGCATTAAATAAATGTAAATGTAAAATTATTCCAGAAGAAGTATATATGGATGATGCTGATGAAAGTTCTGTAATCATGATTTTAACATCAATGATGATTTGTCTTGGATAATAAAAATAAATAATTTTGCTTTTATTATTCTTTAATTAATAAATAATATAATCAAATAAAAATGAATTGAATTCTTTAATATTATATTTTAATTAAATTGTTGCATTTGTTTCTTTAATAATTTAACTGCCATTTTATGTTTTTTACTATTTTCATGACTTTTTAATTGATTTTCACTTTTAAAGCTTTTTTCACAAACTATACAACACCATTCAGTAATTTCTTCTTCTATTTGATCATCTTGTATATCTTTTTTATTTTGACCAATTTCAGTATTATTTCCTGAATAATACCTTGAAATACGTTCAATCTCATCAACTTCTTCTTGTGAAATTTCAAATTGTTCTCCAATTAATTCTTGTTTTCTTTTCATTTCTTCTTCTCTTCTTTTACGTTCTGCATCTTTTAATTCAATTTGTTTTTCACGTTCTTCTTTTTTTCTTATTAATTCAGCTTTAACTAATTCCCATCTTGGATCCATTCGTTGAACAAAATTAACAAGTTGTCTTATATTTTGTGTTCGTTCTAAACGGAGTTTTTCTTTGATTTTTTGATTTTCTTTTTCCCACATTCTTCTAACTGTTCTATTAGGTGCTTCAGAAAGTTCATTTGGCATTTTATTCCAAAATTCTAATTGACATTTAAAATGAGTCCATTCTTCATAAAATCTTTTGACTTCTTCAATTGTGCTTTTACTTGTTCCAAATGACATTAATTTTTTCCCTCCTCCTTCCTCTTCAAGAATTGAATTAAATAAATTATTATAAATTGTATAAAACCCATTTTCATTTTCATTATATTCATCAAAGCAATCACTATTGAAATATTCATACAAATTAATTACTGTTTCATCTGCTCTGTTTAATCCAGCTAATATCAAATCACGATGTTGGTCATACCATTGTCGTTCATTAGGATCTTTTAATACTCCATATGCAGCAACTAATTCTTGAAAATTTTTTTGTGCTTCTTCAGGATCAACATCAACTAATTTATCTGGATGTAATTTTAGTGCTAATTTTCTGTATGCCTTTTTAATTTCTTCATCTGTAGCAGTTGAATCAACTCCAAGAACTTCATAATAATCTCTTCTTTGTTTTGACATATTATATTGTATTTAAATAATTATTGAGTTTTGTGTTTCTTAAAGGGTTTTAGTTGAAGTTATATCACAATAATGATATGATTCATTGAAAATGTTATTGTATGAAATAATCAAACAATTTAACCCTAATTGAGAGTTACCAAAATACATTAAACTAAACATAATTCAAATACTATATCACAGTTATTCTATTACCAATTATATAATTTCTGTATTTGTAAAACCTGTTTAATATTTATTGTATATTATTTGGGGTGTGTGTTATTATTTTATTGGTAATTATATTTTTAACTCATTAAAATTTTTCATACTTTAATATTGAAAAGCATTGAAATGTGTTTCTTCTTCTGTAACTCTTTATTTGATCTTTGGGATAGGTATTTACAAATACGTTATTTTTTATTACGATGTTTATTCAACAGCTCGTTTTATATAACTATTTTCTATGAAACATCATGATATACATTTTATTACATTAACTTTTATGACAATAATAACCACAATTAATATTAATATAAATTAATGTTTGTTACAATGTGATAGTTCACATATATCACATATAAGATAATACCTTTTGATGTATCTAAGAAAATTTATGTATGAATACAATAACAGTTTTTTATTACTTAAGTCTCACAGGTAACATCAAGTTCATTGAAATTGACTCAGTATTACTTAGTCACTAAATAATGATATAAAGTTAAACATTATTTATATAAAACTACTTTGAAAATAATAACATAGAGTTATTTCAATTAGAATATCTTTTTAGTAAAAATAGATAATAATCAAAAAGAAAAGACATCGAATGTGTCTATTGAAAATATTCCATTGAATAACAAAGTCAAGAAAAAACAGTTCAAAAATGTATTTTTCTACAAACATATCAAAATGTTTATTCAAAGAAATAATCAGTATAAACATAGACAATATTATGTACAAGTTTAACATGCTAATTGGAAGAATAAAACAAGAGAATTAAGATTTAAAAAAATAGAACAAGATAAAGAACACATAGTTATACAAGAAAACTCTTAATACAAAATATTGTTTAAGATTTAGATATTAAAGGAATATTAGAAAGAATGAAGACAGATAGAAGAAAAATTTAGTAGTTATATTATACTCTTATTAGATTGTTATAAGAAATTAACTCAAAAAATTGTGGACTTCAAAAATATTAGATAAAAACAACACGGATAGCGCGATATGGCTGATAAGAATGGTTGTAATAAATTTGATACTAAATAAAAATAACACTTAAATCTATCACTTATTTAAGGAATGATTAGGTACAGTACGACCAAAGTTAAAAAAGTATGGTAACTAGTTAATAAATGTTCAAGACCATTTTTGTAATAAATAAATTAAAAACAGACAAGACTTTTAGCAAGATTTATTTGGTTAGTTATTTACTTTTATAACAACTCGAAGATAATAATAAAAATAATCCAATTAATGACATTTACTTGTATATTCATTGATTCATTTTTTTTGTTGTTATTTTATTATAGTTGGTGTTAGTTTCATCATCATTCTTTAATTTATTTGATTTATTTGTTGTTTGGTTGGGAGTTTACATCATAAAATGTCATTGTTATATAAATAGTACATGCTATCTTTCATTTATTTATTTTGAATTATTCTTATTATTGATGTATGTTTATTATCATTTTTGTTGATGGTTATGAATAAATCAAATAAACCTATTGCAAATGGAATGATTTCTGAATTCTCATCTTTATATTTTTTTGTTTTTTATATTTATTTATTTATTTAATAGTCATTTGTAATATTTTCGTTCTGCACAATATAACTCTACAACACATGTTTCTTTTGTTTATTATCTTGAATTTATTATTTCATATTATAAATTTTATATCATTTCAGGTTAGTAAATTTTCGTTAAATAAATGTAATTAAACCTATAACAGAGTATGTGAAAGAAATAGGATTGTCACAGGAAATAAATTGAAGTTAACTTTAAAGAGAAAGTTAGTTTCTTAATAAATTAGATTTATACATATTCCAAGTTGCTATTTTTTTAAAGACAACTAAAAGCAATAATAAGTAGTATATCAAAGCAAAAGGAGTAATAACTGATATCCGAGATAACTTGGATTTGTCAAAAAGATGGATTTACTAATACTCAATCAATATTCCCATAAACATAATAAATTTATTTCTATTTTCATTAACTGATTTTAGAGCTTTTATAATATCTTAGAAGGTAAGAATTCGAATTTAATAGTGTCTGAGTGTTTAGAAGGATTTGTTCATAGTCGGTATCTTTATAAACAAGGACAATGACCAAATCAATTGACACAAATGGTTCATTGAGTGAAATGAAATAATCTTTATTACTAAAAGATTTAAAACATCTAATTCTTGATTGGCAGTGTTTGTTATAACAAAAAGTGGATAGTTATTTAAAAAAATAAAGCTATAAAACTTTTTTTTTGTTGTGTGGTTCTTGTTATTTAATAAATAAATTTATGAATTTGTTTGAATATTAGTATTTTCTGTATTCAAGTTATATTATTTGGAAAAGTTATTCAAAGTAATAATTTAAGATATTTTGGTAATAATGAATAGTTTCATGGAGATAGTTCATTGTTGTATTGTATGAAGAAAAGAAGAAGGATAGAAATAAGTTGTAAATTCAAATTTTAAAATTGTTATTTTCATATTTTTTAGAAAATAGAAACTATAAAACTAAAAGATATAAAGAAAACATAATGAATGGTATTTGTACTATGCTTTCTCAAGAACAACGAAATTCTTTAAAGTCAAAACATATATTGATTGTTGGTCTTGGAGGTGTTGGTTCATATACTGCTGAAATTCTTGCACGATGTGGAATTGGTCATTTAACCATTGTTGATGCTGATACAATTTCTGTCTCAAATATTAATCGTCAACTTCCTGCCATTCCTTCAACAGTCGGTCAATCTAAAGTAGGTATTGTTAAACAAAGACTTGAAAGAATTAATCCAGAAATTGAAGTAAAAACAGTTGTAGAATTTTTAGAGAATGAAAGAATTCATGAATTGGTTTCATCAGGATTTGATTATGTTGTAGATGCAATTGATAGTGTTTCTCCAAAAGTGTTTTTGATTAAAAACGTAATGGAAGCTAAAATTCCTTTGGTATCTTCTATGGGTGCAGGTGGAAGATTTGATCCAACAAAAATTCAAATTGCTGATATTTCCTTAAGCCACAAAGATAATTTAACTCGTCTTGTTCGTTACAGATTACATAAACATGGTATTCGTTCAGGATTTAATTGTGTGTTTAGTTCAGAAGAACCTGATAGAGCTGCTTTGATGTTTCATCAAGAACGTTTTAAAAAGTCATCTTTTGGAACACTTTCTTATATTACTTCAATGTTTGGAATTAAATGTGCTGAATCTGTCATCCGTGATTTAATTGGTCATCCAGTTGTCAATGTTGAAATGGAAAGACCTTGGGAAGAGAATAACCCACATAAGTAAATACCTTTTGAATACTAAGATTGTTAGATTTACACATCAAAAGTACCTTAAACTATAAAAATAATTGAGTCCATAACTTGCTCTCTTATGTTTTGATTACATTGAAGAATTATAACAAGTATCATCGTTTCACCAATTTCTAATACTTTGAAATGAGAAACAAAGTTCTATGTCAATAAACAAATTTTTCATACTATTTGATAACTAAAGAAGAAAGAAATGAATCAACACTTCTCTTTACTCAACAACATATTCCCATTTTTGTGTAATGGATAAAATAATTATGAATTTATTGCCAGTAGTTGTTATTAAAAAGGGAAAATGTATTGACTTTGAGTTTTAATTGTAAGAAGTAAATACAAAGAGAATGTATATACTAAAATAAAGAAGAAATTCCTTTTTATAAACAGATTCAACTGATTTGTTTATTTTTCAATGTTTATGATTCAAAATACCATTTAAAATACAATTAATTTCATTGGAGAGTATTTTTAAATAATGATATTATTCATAATGTGTTATCAAATGTTTAATTATTTTTATTCTATGATTATGGGCAATGGTGTATTTTATTTATTATTGACACTTGATAATTCTTTTATATTCAGCACAATACAATAATAAATCAGATCTTAAATTATTATTAATACATAATCTTTAAACATTAACTGTGAGCCAATTTGTCAATTTCTGAATTTTTACTCCAATTATAAGCTATCAGATTATATTGTTCTTTACTTTTTACTTGTTTATTGAATGACTTGTAATATCAAATATTTTATACTATATTACACCAATGTATTGTAACAACAAACTGTTTTTCTTTGATATTATTTTATAGATATTCAAAGACACTAATGATATACTATTAACAAGTGATGAAATAATTAAATAATGTAATAACTTGTATTGAATAGGTTTGATAATGTTTTTGACATAAGAAAGATACATTCATTTTTTATTAACTTCAAAGATTCTTATTTCTTGATTTCATTTGTATTATTATGTTATTTTTATTAACTTGAAAAGAATAATACAACTACCAATATAATTAATTGATTGTGTTAATTTTTCTTATTCTTTTGTTGAATAGAATTGGTTTTATTAACCATCAACATCAAACTCATTTTATTTGAAAATATGTATTTGATATAATATTTCATATTGAATAAAGTATCATTCCCTTTCTATTAACATTTCTTTCATAATAACTAATAACCTCATTGTTATTAATGTTGTACTTAAACTTATTTATTTATGATAATTTTATGAATTATCAAAAATATTACATGAAATAAAATATTTATATGTTATAATTCTTATTTTGCTCATTAAACTTCACTTCTATTTCAATTAATGATTTATTTCTATAACAACTAATGAAAATGAAATTAACATAATTAAATGGTAATTAATCAGATTATTATTGATTCATTATTATTACATGATTTTAAGACAATGAAAGTAAATAATCCATGAACATAAATAATATTTGAATGAAAACAAGAGTATGAAATAATCATTTTATTCCAAAAATAAATAGATTGAAATAGTTTTGATTTAATTAACACTGAAATATATAACAAAAGAAATACAAGAAGAAACAAAAAGATACTTTATTAAAACAAAACTTTTTATTACTAAATAACAAATAAGTCCATTCAATTCAATGAATCATTATTGAAACTTTATTTTTAATCACTAATAAATGAAACACTATCATTCAATTAATTTTTTTTGGATATTACTTATTTTTAATATACTTCTGTTGACTCATTTTATTTATAATTAAATTTCTAATTACTAATAATTTCTTATTAATTTAATATTTAACATCATATATAATATTCAATTATCTTATCTAATAAACCCCCCCCCCCCAAATTAAAACAAATAAAATAACCATTTTTCAATACAAAAACAAACCAACCTTGAATATAATTATGCACGAACTTTTTATCTCTTTATTGTTGTAATAAATATTAAAGTTTAGAAAGAGAGGAGAGAATAGAAAATACACAAGAAATGCTTAAATTATAGAGATTATTAAATAGAAGAATGGACATCATGAAAAGCACTAATGTGATATTTGATTCATATATTGATAATTGGAATAAGTATACATCAATGATTGGAGAAAGAATAATAAATAAAGAACATATAATAATTATTATTAAGAATACAAATAGAAATAAATTTGGAGGATGGGTTGACGAGAAAGTTGATGGAGATGTTTATTATATAAATAATCCAAAATCATTTTTATTTTCATCAGAATCAAAAGGAGAATAAAAAGAATGATGAAATTTGATATTCAACAACAACACAAATTTTGTTTAGACAATCATTCAGATGATTATTTGTTTTCATTTGGGGAAAATGAATCAAACAATATTTCTATCCATAAAGAAAATATAAAATAAAATCATGTTATGATCAAATAGATTGAATAAAAGAAATTGAAAAAAAAACACTTTTTTAGAAGATACGATTTTATACTACAAGAATCATTGTAATTAAAATGAAATGCCTTTTATTAGTCTATGCTTTATTTGAAATGAAGAGTATTAGAAATGAAAATTAAAAAGAGTATATGAACATGTCTTTTATCTCCAAATAATTGAAATAATGAATATAAAAAAAACAATTTCAATTTTAACTTTACTTCTTTTTATTATTATTTATTAAATAAGAACAAACAAACACATAAATGGATCAATTAACAACAAAGAAGTTATTAATGATACAATACTTATATCCTTTTTTTAGAATGAAATGAAATTTTCTAAATCAAAACCATACCATTCAAAGACTATACAATTACTTATTATAAATAATCAAAACCATATTAATTTTAAATATTTGAATAAAAAACAAAAAACTTTGTTCTATTTTATCTGTGTTACTCATATTAAGAGTCTTGGCCTATTGGTTGTTTATAAGTCCTTTCTTAATGTTTAAAGCAGTACTTTATTTTTAATAATCATATTGTTTAATTTTTATTTTTCTCTTATGCAAGAGAAGGCAATAAAAAATATAAATTTTTGTTTTTGTTGATAATGGACAATGATAAAAATAAAAATTGTTTAGTAGTAGTTTTTGATGTTTATTTTTTTGGGGAAGTAAAATGAAAAAGATGGGAAAAAGATTATCTCTTGAAAATTGGAAATGACGGTCAAAATGAACTTAAATGAACTCAAAAACTAAGATTATGAATAAACCACAAAGTATTAACTTTGAAGCACTTGATGATAATTGCCCTCCAGAACAACTACCAGAATCATGGAAAATTATATTAAGAGAGGCTGGTGTTAAAAAGAAAGACCTTCAAAATCCAGAAACAAGAAAGAAAGTATATGCTTATATGAGGCAATCAGTTTATGTTAAAAAAACCCAAGAAGAATTAGACAAACAGAAAGTCTCTGCTCATGACGTTAGAAGAATGTCTGTTTCTGTAAAACAGAGATACAAAGTCATAGAAGGAAAACAAAGAACACAACCTAACTTTGTTTCTGCCAAACCACAAACAGACACCAAACAAAATTCTTTCTTAAGTGCAAGACAATCACATGCTAAATCACCAAATACCACTTCTCAACATTACAACTCTCCTCAACATCAAATGCAATCACCTTCTGTGACTCCAACAAAAACGTCACAAGCTTTGTTTCAGAAAACTTCTACTTCTTCATCAATAAAATTTGGTCAAACACCAACTAAACAACAAAACGATGTAGAAAAATCTCCTAC